TAGTTTGTTTAAGGAAATCACTTGATAAAAACATCCCCCTAGCAAATTTTAGCTGCGGCATCCTTGCCGTAAGGGCAGATGGATTGTGTAGCGTTTCAACTGTCCTGAGGGATCTATCCACCCTTACTAGTTGATAATAACACGATAGAAAATGTTGCACAGGAACAGTACAATATACAATGTAGTCTTTCAGCAGGGGGCGACTGTCCTACATTTGGAAGCTCGAGGCACTGCCCTAGGGCCCGGGGTCAGTAGGGGGCAAAACCCATGTTGTGTATATTACCCATGATACCTTTTTCATAGGCTTTTTTGAGTTTTTTTTGAGTTTGGACAAGGACACAGGGGCCCCATGAATCCCCTATTGTCCTAGGGGCCCCATAAGTTTCAGTCCGCCCCAGGCTGAGTCATCACACTTTCACAAGGTCAGGCTTGCAGGCAGGAGGGTCTAATAAGACCCCTCCTTCAGGTGAATGAAAAAAAAATGCTTCCCATGAAGCCTACTGAGATGTAATGACATAATTTTTGCCAAGGTCAGGACAATACAGGAAGCCACTGAAAAAATGTAAATGAAAAAAAAAGGTTTAAGACAAGTAAATACATTATACCTTTCCTATTTAACCAATACTAGGAGCATCGTCGGATTATTAAAATAGGAAGTTATTGTTGATTGAAAGAGTGAAGTTTCCGCTGTAAGCTGCCTGTGGATGGTATTCAAGAACCATACTGTCTGGACAGAGAAAGGCCCTATGATTGAAGCTTATGTCAATGCATAAAGCATAAATAAATCAAACTTAAGCAAACCTGATTACAATAAACCTAAATATAGTGTTTACAGTCCCCAAAATAAAGTCCCAAATAAAAGTCCTAAAAAAAATTAATTTTTTTTTCGCATTCTTTGTCGGTGATTTCACAATTCTTCGTGTCTCCCAAACAGTATTAGTGGTATAGTCAAAAAAAAATCTTCATATACCCCCTCAAGATTAGTATCCATAGGATCTCCAATCATATAGGATGAGATTATTTTTCCACGCCTGGTTTTTCGATCAACCTTTCCAAGCCACTGTTCCCACAGTGTGCTTTTTTGTATTTCTTCCAGATATATGCAGTACATCCAGTGTGAGACTTTATTTTGTTCTGTGCAGGAGCTTCCTGTAATAAAGAACCTGTCACTGCTGCTCTCTCTCCTTGTTGCAGGGTGACTGGTCTGTGAAAAAACGGCCGCCCGACCTGTAGTTTTCTACTGGCAGCCTGTTAGTGTCCCACAGCTCTGCTTCCTGCATAAGCTTATACACAGCATAGTGATGATGTCACTGCTACATTTATAAAGTGCCCGAAAAGTCTTCGATACCCCTTGAAATTTTGTACCCCCTTCCACATTTTGTCATGTTACAACTGAAAACATAAATGTATTTTATTGGGATTTGATGTGATAGAACCTGACAAACAAAGTGGGCACATAATTGAATAGGAAGGAAAATATATAATGGTTTTCAAATTGTTGACAAATCTGTGGCATGCATTTGTATTCGGACCCCCCTGAGTCAATACAATTTGTAGGGACCCCTTTCGCTGCAATTCAGCATGCAAGTCTTTTTGGGGATGTCTCTGCCAGCTTTGCCATCTAGAGAGGGACATTTCTGCCCATACAATTCTTTGCAAAAATAGCTCAACCTCTGGTCAGATTGGAGTTGGAGAGCATCTGTGAACAGCAAGTTTCAAGTCTTGCCACAGTTTCTCAGTTGGATTCTAGTTGGGACTGTGGACTGTGGCTGGCAATGTCTAACACATGAAGATGCTTTGGATCAGAAAACCATTCCATTGTAGCATCTGGCTGTATGTTAAGGGTCATTATCCTCGGCCCGAGGTGAACCTGCGCCCAGGGGCGGAACTGACAACGTTTTGGGGCCCCTGGGCAAATAGGGGATCAGGGGGCCCGTGTCCTTGCCTCAAACTCAAAAAGCTATGAAAAAGGCAACCAGAATGGCATCTCATGGGGCCCCCTACTGACCCTGGGCCCTGTGCTAGCAGTGCCCGAGTTTCCAAATGGTCAGTCCACCTTTGCCTTCCGCCCCAGTCTCAAGTCTTTTGCAGACTGTAAACTGTTTTCTTCTAAGTTTTCTCTGTTTTTGGCTCCATCCATCTTCCCATCAACTCTGGCCAGCTTCCCTGACCCTTTACTAAAGCCAAAAAGCATCCCCACAAATCATGATGCTGCCACCACCATGTTTCACATGTGGGGATGGTGTGTTCAGGGGGTGTAATGGTTGCAGTGTTAGTTTCCGCTACACAGAGCATTTTGCTTTTAGGCCAAATTGTTTAATTTTGGTCTCATCTGAGCAGAAGCCCTTCTTCACCATGTTTGCTGTGTCCCCCACAAATGGCTTCTCACAAAACTGCAAAAATAAACTTCTTATGGCTTTTATTTCTTTCTACAATGGCTTTCTTCTTGCCACTCTTTCATAAAGGCCAGATTTAGTGGAGTAGCACGACTAATAGTTGTCCTGTGGACAGATCCTCCCACCTGAGCTGTGGATCTCTGCAGCTCCTACAGAGTTCCATATGGGTCCCTCTTCGCTGCTTCTCTGATGAATGCTCTCCTTGCCCGGCCTGTCAGTTTAGGTGGATGGCCATGTCTTGGTAGGTTTGCAGTTGTGCCATACTCTTTCATTTTCAGATGATGGATTGAACAGTGGTCTGTGAGATGGTCAAAGCTTGGGATATTTTTTTATATCCCAACCCAGCTGTTAGGAATGGACTGGCCAGCAATGGTGGGGGACTCACCTGCCTTTTGATCTGCAGTACCAGGGCTGGCCAGCGGGTGCTCCCAGCAATCAGAGACTCAACCTTTCAGCCAGCTAACACCTGGAAACTGATGATGCTGGGGTATTTAAGGGATGGCCAGACCCACAGACTCTGCCTTGGTGTTGTGTTTGTCCTGGGCCCTGTATCTGTCCTGCATCCTGTTTCTGTCCCTCTGCCTGACCCTCTGTACTACGCTGCTTGTTACCTGTTCTTTGTTTTGATCTCTGGCTTGTGACCCTGACCATCCCTCTGCCTGACCCTCTGTACTACGCTGCTTGCTACCTGCTGAACCTGGCCTGTGACCCCGACCATTCTCTGCTTGCTCCCCCTGTACCTACCTGCCCAATTGATATTGACCCGGCCTGCCTGACGACGCTTGCTTGTATGTACTGTTATCTGTGGGGTGGTTGGTTTGGTGTTTTGTTTTGCACTGTGTTATGTTTTAGTATTGCACTGCGTTTATGTTTGTATGGTTTTAGTGTTAATAAATTTGTGTATTGTTTATCACATATCTGAAGTCTGCGTTTTCCCTGCATCAGTCACACACCTCTGGTCATACCTGGGAGCCCTGACATTACACCAAGGCCAATCCTGACCAGAAGTGGCTGCACAGGGAAGCCATCTTGGCTTGTTGATGGGAAGGATGGATCTTGATGAGGTTGAATATTTATATCTGCTAGTGTTTGATGACAGGGAGTATGCTTATCAAACTCTGAAGGAGTATACCCGGGATGAACTGCTAGAATGTATATACGGCTCGCTCATGTTCTAGTAGATCAGGGCACAGAGTTCTCTGAGGTGCAGCCATTGATTGAGGTTTGTGCAGGAGTTGGTTTCATCTGGTTCCCCCGAATGCAGGGATGAATTTTTGCCACCATTTAGTGCAGACCAGGTAGAGTCCCTGGTGTGTGGTTATTAGAGGATGATGTGGGTTACTTTCTGGAGCGTTATTCCACATGTTCACCACAGACACTAAGAGATTGTATAAACGCAGTGCAGTCATTGACCAGACAGGGCTTTGTGTAAGCTCAGCTTTGTTCAACCCCATACTGCAGACATGGACAGATTTGTTGCACCCAGCCTCAGTCAGCTTACAAAGACCCAGTCCTGCTTCTAATCTATTTCCTCAAAACTCTATTCCTGCATTCCCAACAGCTCCTCCTGCCCTGCTATCTACCGCATGTCAGTACCCTGTTCCCACTCGCTGCACCTATCCTGCCTTTAACCCTGTAAAAGAGCCCTCTGTAGCAACCGCTCCCTCTCCTGTTCCATCCTCCAGTTCTTTCTCTGTCTCCAGCTGCTCCATTCGTTTGCAGACCTGCGTTTACTTGCAGTGCTCCAGTAGTTAAAACCAGAAAAAAGCGAAAATTCTTTCCAACCAATACCATCCTGCCAGTATCCAAATCCGGTGAGCCTGCCTTCCGTGGTTCAGCCTGAAGCCTCTACTCAGCCTGATGGCCTCTACTCAGCCTGACAGCCTGATGCCTCTACTCAGCCTGATGCCTCTACTCAGCCTGATGCCGGTACTCAGCCTGATGCCTCTCTTCAGCCTGAAGCCTCTACTCGGCCTGAATGCCTCTACTCGGCCTGATGCCTCTACTCGGCCTGAAGCCTCTACTCGGCCTGATGCCTCTACTCGGCCTGAAGCCTCTACTCGGCCTGAAGCCTCTACTCGGCCTGATGCCTCTACTCGGCCTGAAGCCTCTACTCGGCCTGATGCCTCTACTCGGCCTGATGCCTCTACTCGGCCTGATGCCTCTACTCGGCCTGATGCCTCTACTCAGCCTGATGCCGGTACGCAGCCTGATGCCTCTCTTCAGCCTGATGCCTGTATGCAGCCTGATGCCTCTCTTCAGCCTGATGCCTCTACTCGGCCTGAAGCCTCTACTCGGCCTGATGCCTCTACTCGGCTGAAGCCTCTACTCGGCCTGAAGCCTCTACTCGGCCTGATGCCTCTACTCGGCCTGAAGCCTTCTACTCGGCCTGAAGCCTCTACTCGGCCTGATGCCTCTACTCGGCCTGAAGCCTCTACTCGGCCTGAAGCCTCTACTCGGCCTGATGCCTCTACTCGGCCTGATGCCTCTACTCGGCCTGATGCCTCTACTCGGCCTGAAGCCTCTACTCGGCCTGAAGCCTCTACTCGGCCTGAAGCCTCTACTCGGCCTGAAGCCTCTACTCAGCCGGACGCCGGCATTCAGCCTGATGCCTCTACCCAGCATGATGAACTGATCCAGCCTGACGATCCTATTAGGCCAGTTGACTCGATGCCCGCTGTTGATCCAGATGATCCGGTACCTGATCCGGTGCCCGCTGTCGAGCCAAATGACCTGATGCCTGGTGACCCAGTGCCCGCTGTCATACCTGGTGACCCGATGCCCGCTGTCGAGCCAGACAATCCGGTACCTGATGACCCAGTGCTCACTGTCGTGCCAGTTGACTCGGAGCCCACTGCCTTGCCAGATGACGCGGTGCCCGCTGTCGAGCCAAATGACCTGATGCCTGGTGACCCGATGCCCGCTGTCCAGCCAGACGATCCAATGTCTGACCCAGTGCCAGCGGTCATCCCAGTTGACTCGGAGCCCACGGTTGTGCCTGGTGACTCGGTGCCCGCCGCCCCGCCTGGGGGCCTGAGACCTGTCGTTCCGCCTGGGGGTCCGGCGCCCGCCGCTCCGCCTGAGGGCCCGAGACCTGTCGCTCCGCCTGGGGGTCCGGCGCCCGCCGCTCCGCCTGAGGGCCCGAGACCTGACGCTCCATCTGGGGGTCCGGCGCCCGCCCGCTCCGCCTGAGGGCCCGAGACCTGTCGCTCCGCCTGGGGGTCCGGCGCCCGCCGCTCCGCCTGAGGGCCCGAGACCTGTCGCTCCGCCTGGGGGTCCGAGACCTGTCGCTCCGCCTGAGGGCCCGAGACCTGTCGCTCCGCCTGGGGGTCCGGCGCCCGCCGCTCCGCCTGGGGGCACGATGATGCCTGTCGCCCCGCCTGGGGGGCACGATGCCTGTCGCCCCGCCTGGGGGCACGATGCCTGTCGCCCCGCCTGGGGGCACGATGCCTGTCGCCCCGCCTGGGGGCCCGGCGCCCGCCGCCCCGCCTGGGGGCCCGACGCCGGTCGCCCCGCCTGGGGGCCCGACGCCGGTCGCTCCGCCCGCCCGGGGGCCGGGTGCCTTCTGCTCCGCCCGGGGGCCCGGTGTGCTGCTGCTGCTCCGCCCGGGGGCCCGGTGCCTGCTGCTCCGCCCGGGGGCCCGGTGCCTGCTGCTCCGCCCGGGGGGCCCGGTGCCTGCTGCTCCGCCCGGGGCCCGGTGCCTGCTGCTCCGCCCGGGGGCCCGATGCATGGCGCCCCGCCCGGGGGCCCGGTGCCTGCCGCCCCGCCCGGGGGCCCGGTGCCTGCCGCCCCGCCCGGGGGCCCGATGCCTGCCGCCCCGCCCGGGGGCCCGATGCCTGCCGCTCCGCCCGGGGCCCGGTGCCTGCCGCTCCGCCCGGGGGCCCGGTGCCTGCCGCTCCGCCCGGGGGCCCGGTGCCTGCCGCTCCGCCCGGGGGCCCGGTGCCTGCCGCCCCGCCCGGGGGCCCGGTGCCTGCCGCTCCGCCCGGGGGCCCGGTGCCTGCCGCTCCGCCCGGGGGCCCGGTGCCTGCCGCTCCGCCCGGGGGCCCGGTGCCTGCCGCTCCGCCCGGGGGCCCGGTGCCTGCCGCTCCGCCCGGGGGCCCGATGCATGTCGCCCCGCCCGGGGGCCCGATGCATGTCGCCCCGCCCGGGGGCCCGGTGCCTGCTGCTCCGCCCGGGGGGGGCCCTGCCTGCTGCTCCGCCCGGGGGCCCGGTGCCTGCTGCTCCGCCCGGGGGCCCGGTGCCTGCTGCTCCCGCCCGGGGGCCCGCTGCCTGCTGCTTCGCCTGGTAATCCGATGTGCCTCTGCCCGGAGTCCTGCCCGATGTGCCTCTGCCCGGAGTCCTGCCCGATGTGCCTCTGCCTTGCCCGGAGTCCTGCCCGATGTGCCTCTGCCCGGAGTCCTGCCCGATGTGCCTCTGCCCGGAGTCCTGCCCGATGTGCCTCTGCCCGGAGTCCTGCCCGATGTGCCTCTGCCCGATGTGCCTCTGCCCGATGTGCCTCTGCCCGATGTGCCTCTGCCCGGAGTCCTGCCCGATGTGCCTCTGCCCGGAGTCCTGCCCGATGTGCCTCTGCCCGATGTGCCTCTGCCCGGTGTGCTCTGCCCGGTGTGCCTCTGCCCGGTGTGCCTCTGCTCGATGTGCCTCTGCCCGGAGTCCAGCCCGGTGTGCCGCTGCCCGGAGTCCTGCCCGGTGTGCCAGTCTTTGATATCCCGCCAGTTACCAGACCGGGCGGTGGAACATTTTGCCCAGCTAGGACTGTTTGGAGCGTCCTGAGGCCGCTCCTTGGGGGGGGGGGGGTACTGTTAGGAATGGACTGGCCAGCAATGGTGGGACTCACCTGCCTTTTGATCTGCAGTACCAGGGCTGGCCAGCGGGTGCTCCCAGCAATCAGAGACTCAACCTTTCAGCCAGCTAACACCTGGAACTGATGATGCTGGGGTATTTAAGGGATTGCCAGACCCACAGACTCTGCCTTGGTGTTGTGTTTGTCCTGGGCCCTGTATCTGTCCTGCATCCTGTTTCTGTCCCTCTGCCTGACCCTCTGTACTACGCTGCTTGTTACCTGTTTTGATCTCTGGCTTGTGACCCTGACCATCCCTCTGCCTGACCCTCTGTACTACGCTGCTTGCTACCTGCTGAACCTGGCCTGTGACCCCGACCATTCTCTGCTTGCTCCCCCTGTACCTACCTGCCCAATTGATATTGACCCGGCCTGCCTGACGACGCTTGCTTGTATGTACTGTTATCTGTGGGTGGTTGGTTTGGTTTGTTTGCACTGTATTATGTTTTAGTATTGCACTGCGTTTATGTTTGTATGGTTAGTGTTAATAAATTGTATTGTTTATCACATATCTGAAGTCTGCGTTTCCCTGCATCAGTCACACACCTCTGGTCATACCTGGGAGCCCTGACACCAGCTATAAACATATCCACAACTTTATCCCTGACCTGTCTGGTGTGTTCCTTGGCCTTTGTGATGCTATTTGTTCACTAATGTTCTCTAACAAACCTCTGAGGGCTTCACAGAACAGCTCTATTTATACTGAGATTAAATTACACACAGAGGGACTCTATTTACTAATTTGGTGACTTCTGAAGGCAATTAGTTCCACTAGATTTTAGTTAGGGGTATCAGATTAAAGGGGGCTGAATACAAATGAACTCCACACTTTTCAGATATTTAACAGTAAAAAAATTTTGAAAACCATTTATCATTTTCCTTCTACTTCACAATCATGTGCCACTGTGTTAGTCTATTACATAAAATCCCAATAAAATACATTTACGGGGCAGCACAGTGGCTAAATGGTTAGCACTTCCACCTTGCATTACTAGGGTCGTTGGTTCGAATCCCAGCCACGGCACCTCCTGCCTGGAGTTTGCATGTTCTCCCTGTGCCTGCGTGAGTTTTCTCCGGGTACTTCGGTTTCCTCCCACACTCCAAAGACATGCTGGTATGTTAACTGGATCCTGTCTAAATTGTCCCTAGTATGTGCATGTATGAATGTAAGTTAGGGACCTTAGATTGTACACCCCTCGAGGGTTAGGGACTGATGTGAATATACAATATATATGTAAAGCGCTGTGTAAATTGATGGCGCTATAAAAGTACCTGAAATAAATAAATAATAAATTTACATTTTTGGTTGTAACAAGACAAAATGTGGAAAATTTCAAGGGGTATGAATACTTTTTCAAGGCACTGTATATAGTAATATTGAGGTTTTCAAGGGAGTTTGAGGCATACAAATTGGATTTATATACTTTGTAATTATTGATGGATATATTTCAACAAACATGTTTGTTTCTGAATCTCTTTTAAGAGGAACCTTAACAGTTAGGCAAGTTCTGCATATTGCCTAGTGCCCCCTCCTCCAAAGTATATTTTGTTTCTCGAATATTCATATGCGATTTTAGATGGGGAGAGGGGGCACTAAGGCCGGCCATACATGGGTTGAAATTCGACCGATTTTTCATCCAAAAATCTGACCTAAGAATAATCGGCCCCTATGTATTAACCTCCTTAGCGGTATTTCCCGAGTGTAGCTCGGGGTAAAATTTGAGTACCAAGAGCGGTAACCCCGAGCTACACTCGGGCTTACCATGCAGCGTTGCTCAGGGGGTCCCTGCAGCACTTACCTTGTCCTTCACTCCCGCGATGTATCCCCTGCAGCGTCCCCGGCCATCTCCTCCGGCCGATGCCAGCATCCGGCTTCCATGTTTCGGTCCCTGTGACGTCGGGCCGTACGGGCGCCGGAACCGGCGGGAAATTTGAAATTTTTTAAAAAGCATCATTTTTGCTGTCATTGCTGTTTCAATGCATTTCACATACATTTTGTCCCTAGTGCTTTGTCCTGCGCCCTGCCTGCATTTTTTCTGTTCTTTCTGCCTGGAAACTTAGAAAAGTCCATGGCGTCCAAAAAGCGTCCCTTTACGTCAAAAGCGGTTTTAGAACAGCGATAGTAAATCAGAACCACTTGCAGAATTGAGTGATAATGATTCGTGGGGGAAATTCGTCATCAGACACTGAAAACGATTTTGCGACTTTGCTCAGCGATGTGCGAATTTGCCTCTGTATTTCAAATTTCAGTGTTTTTGGTTTGATTATATTATTGAATTAAATGTATTATTATTATATTATAATTTTTTTATGATTATTTATTAAATAATAATTTATGATTTTGTGTTTCAAATTTTAACATACCCGGGATGTTTACTAGACTCTTGTTCAGACAGATTTCAGTGAGTTATTCCTAAAAATTACAGCCTACAATAAAAAACGACATATTTCCATGCAAAAAAGTACCGCTTTCAGCACAAAAAAAAAAAACGGAAAGAATCATACCGCCAGGGAGGTTAAGCAAGCAAATGTTTTCCAATATTGCAAGGTCTGCTTTATAGTGATATTAAAGGCAATTCTTTTTTTTTTTTAATAACAAATATGTTATACTTACCTGCTCTGTGCAATGGTTTTGCACAGAGCAACCCCGATCCTCCTCTTTATGAAGTTTGGTGACACCGCTGTGGCAATCTTTCAATAATATATATCAACCATTAGGTGGCTCTGCAGCACCACAAGTTGTTTCTTGAATTTTTCTGCCACCATTTTTTCATGTAGATAATGTGTGGAAAAATACTGAATATGTATGTAGCGTGAGAATTATTCTGAGCAGACATGATAATACAAGAAAAGAAATGGGTTACCTGTACTTCAGGTGGAATGTACCCAGACCTTAATAATGAGGATAGTTCACCCTGTTTTAATAGGGATCACTGTGGTCACTAAGATGCAGACCAGGCAGATCTGTACTTTCTATGCACAATGGGGGAGGTTTACTAAGCCTAGAGCGTGGAAAATCTGGTGCAGCTCAGCAAAGAAACCAATCATTTTCCAGGTTTTATTGTCAAAGCTTAATTGAACCAGATGAAGTTAGAAGCGGATTGGTTTCTATGCACAGTTCACCAGATACTGTGTGCACCAGTTTTAGTAAATTCCCCCCACTATGTCACTATACATTTAAGTAGGATTCATTTTTGTGAACCTACAATGGAAAAATAATGTCTTACATTTTGAAGTCGAAATTGACGACAAGCAGATACATCATTGCTATCTATAAATCTGGACTGTCTTACCTGCTATACAATATGTGGTTCCGTTCAGGGGGTTTTCAAACTCTGATGTTAAATTAGGACTATAAAGTACACCCAACAGTGTTCCACCTTTTTTTCTTATCTGCAGTTATATAGATAGGATAATCAGCTGTAGACAGGATCATATATCACCAGCACATCATCTTTATATATATATATATATATATATATATATATATATATATATATATATA